TCTATCCGTTTATGGGATGTTAAGACAGGATAATAAAAAGCCAAATTAGATGGTCATTCTGAATATGTTATGTCAATTTGTTACTCTCCTGATGGAAATACATTAGCATCTGGTAGTTGGGATAAGTCTATCCGTTTATGGGATGTTAAGACAGGATAATAACAAGCCAAATTAGATGGTCATTCGCATTATGTTTATTCAATTTGTTACTCTCCTAATGGTACTACATTAGCATCTGGTAGTGCAGATAGCTCTATCCGTTTATGGGATGTTAAGACAGGATAATAAAAAGCCAAATTAGATGGCCATTCATCAACAGTTCATTCAGTCAATTTCTCACCTGATGGAAATACATTAGCTTCTGGTAGTGATGATAACTCTATTCGTCTATGGAATGTAAAATCATCAAAGGAAATACTCCAATCAGATAGTAGCTATAAAGGTTTGCTTGCCGAGTTTAACATACCACTTCAGAATAGCTCTTTATTGCCATATGGTATTTAATCTTTATTATTATTTAGTTAATCCTGATCGTACAATACTTAGAATATGCTAGAATCCTATTTTAGAAGCATCAGGAACACTTATCTTATAAGGACAGTTCATGAATTATTAAGGGATAGATTTAAAACCATTATTTAAATCAAAAGGAAGTTGCTTTTTAGAAGACCTAAAGCAAAAGAAGTGAATTTGAATATTCATTAAAAACATTACAATTACAATTTTAATCATTTTCTTATAACTTTTTGTTGCTAGTGAAATATTTGAATAATATTGAGATGTTAGAAATAATAATTATATTTTAATATTTATAGACGTATATACTATTAAATTTATAATATAAACAGAGTAAACAGGTTTATTCCTAATAATGATTACTAATAGTTTAGTATAATTTAGATTTTCAGTTTTAAATAAAGGTAATGAAACATTTAAGAACAAAGATAAGAAAAAAGATACATTTCAAAAATTACAACAATATTGATAACAAAGTTAAAACATTGGGATTGAATGATTTTTTAATTTACTATTTTCTAATTGCTATTAATAGTATTAGATAGAATAAAGTACTAAAAAGATATATTAATCATCATTAAGTATTCTAACCCTAAAAGGATTTAGATCATTATTTATCCATTTCTAACAAACATCTAATCATCTTAAATAAGCATTATGTGAATTACATCAAAAAGTTACTTTCCACTATAATTTTGCATATATAGAATGAACAGTTATTAATCACTCAGGTAGGAACTATAAAATTACAAAATTACCCAAGATTGGATTCTCATAAACATAATTGAGAATATTAAAAAATAACAAAAATATTCTACTCTATAACAATGAATTCAAGTCTATTAAAGAATAAATTTTAAAAATAACGTAAATGTATTTATATTCCATAAATGTCATATTTTCTCTTAAAAGCTATAATGTTACAGCTTGATATAAAATAATTTATTATTTTATTTAAAACAAAATTTCTCATCTCTCTCTCTCTCTCTCTTAAAAATTTGTCCTCTTCCTTCCAATTATTGCTCCTCTACTTCTCTCCTCTCTCCTGTACTTGTATTCTTCCTCCGGTGGCATAGGGGGTTTGGCTACTGCCTATATACCCCTGCTTCCTGTGTCAAGTATAAACGTTTTGTTTTATCTGGCTTTGCTCGTATCACTTCCCTCATCTCATTTATTTCACCGCCCTTTGACTTTGGCATCATTTGGTCTGCACCCCAAATGATGCT